GTCGTTATTTGTTTGGAAACTAAATGGTGTAATAGTAAAACCGGGACTTGGTCTCCACTTCGTTGGACCGTTTCTTAATCTCAATTTTATTTTCAACTGCTATAAATAGTAAGAGACATAATTCCCCTTATAATTTATTTAGTAGGTCACTATTACCAATTTTTCTATAGCCTAGTTTTTTTCTTTCCAATAATTTGACTTATAGAATTAAAATTTTGCTTGTGATTGTGTTTGAATAATATTATAGATCAATTACGCAGTTTAAATATCTTGTCTTTATTAAATTTTGTTTATCAAAACATTTATTATAGAATTCTTAGTATAACAATCACGGTAACCTCAATCTAATTCCACTCTATTTGTAAATCCTCTCCTTATATTACATATAGCCTCACAAATCTCTCTAGGGATGGGCACGGTGTGGGGCGGTTTTTTTTTTCACCGTCTCCATCTCGATCTAAAAAATATGTATCTAAAATCTGATATTGGCCTGATAAATTTTAGGTTATTTCCTTCTAAAACTCCGATCGTGACTCAATCTAAATATATTATTTTTTTAAAATAATTAAAATATATTTTATATTTTATAATCAAATAATATATTTTAATAATATAAAAATAAAAAAAATAAAAATATTATATATATATATATATAAAGTAATCTAGTCGAGCCGCATTGGTGATTTTTCACCTTAATCTCGACCCTGTCTCGCCCCAAAATTCTATACCATATAACTCATCCCGTCCTGCCTCGTGTCTCGAAATTAAAAAAAAACTGCCCCTATAAGATCATATTAGGTCGATCGAATTTGAGTATTTTAACCACCCCTAAATGTCTCTTCCAAATATTTTTCAATAAACACTTAGATTATAACATGTTCATAACCGTGATCTCAAACTCTCACGTACTACAATTATTTTTCTAAATAAAAAAATAAATAAAAATAATTTCGCTTGAGGTGTCCAACCAACTCAAAAACCTCGTCGCTTTGTAGAAAGAAGTTTAGAGGAAAATAAAATCTTGTTTTTATGAGATTTGATCACGTCCTATCTTAATAAAGGGTTGGTAATAATTTTCAAGATATTTATTAAATTAAATAATTAACCAAAAAAATGTCAATTGGAGGATGAATTGAACTTTAAAAAATTAGTAGAAGTAACTACTTATTTGGTCCTTCAAGTTTTGATTTATTTTGATTTTATCCCTCTTATTTTTTGTTATTAATTATATTCTACCCTTTGAACTTCAAGTTTTAGTTCATTTAGATTATCTCTCCCTTTTTTTTATTGTTAATTATACTTTGTCCTCTTAAACTATAATCTTAATTGCGTCCTTGTCAATACTAATACCCGATTTCTCTTTACTGAGTTGAAAATCCATAGTTGCCCATCAATTAACAATATTAGACCAGAAGAAATTTGATGGCATAGTTGAAGTGTGTAAGGGTTTAGGTTTTGTTGCTTGTTCAACCTAATTAAGTTTTTCATTTTTTTAACAAACCAAAGCTAGAGGATTAGGGGTCAACTCATTATTATAACTCATCCAAATTAGACTTTATAATATTAAAACTTACATCATATGATAAAGATGCGTTTTTCTTTAAAATTTATATAAAATATAAAACTATTATTCAAATTGATATACTTATAAAAATGGTATTTTTTTCATAACTATTTTATAAAAGCATATTTGAAATAATTATTTCTCCTAAAAATATCATCTCTATATATGCACCTTAGCATTAAATATAATTCCTTACAAAACAATTTAATTACTATTGTAACACGTTACAATGCACGAAATTGTCAAATGTAACGTAAAGCGTCCAACAGATAAAAGCAAAAGATTGAAAATGATTTAAATACAAACTCTTGTGCAGTCCAACAGTTCACCAGGTTCATTGTATTAAGGAAGCCTATCTTTTTTCATTTATTATTTTAATTTTTCATCTTTGTCAAGTCTAATTTAAAAATCCAGCAGCATTTGTCAGCTTCTTGAGCTAAGAAAAGAAAAACGTGTAACCACAATAATAAAAATAATTAGAAATAAATGGCATAAATTGTAATAATTAATATAGGAAAAGCTCTCTATCATTCCAGATGCACAGCTTCGATTGCACTACTTTGAGATTAACAGCTGGATTAAGGAATAATGACATTATTAACAAGGGAGGAGGGATCTAATGGCTAATGATGCTGGGGTATGGGAGTTTTTATCCCACAAAAACTCTATATATACGTACAAAAAAATATTAGAGAACATGTGGAGATCATTGTCGGGGTTAAAGAAATTGCTTCTTCTTTTTTTCCTTCTTAAAAAAACGTACAGCCTTGTCCATGTTCTTTTGTTCTGTCAGTAGGAGGTTTTTTACTTTCAGGTTGGATTCGTAGTTTAAATTAAATAAAATAATCTTATAAATAGTCTGGCGAATTAAAAAAAATTAAGATTAGGGTCTAAAATTTTAGTTTTTTTATAAAAATAATAGATATGTAATTTTTTTTCTTTTTTCGTTAACATATTAAGCTAATTTAACCATTTTTTTAAATAATGGGATGTATTTGGCCCCTATGAGACTTTGTGCTTCCCCCTCCATTGTATTATTCAAAATAATAGATATGATTTTCCAAAAAAAAAATCATGGGTTTAATTGTCTATTTTAAGTATAAGGTCTAGTTAGGTCAGGTTTAAATTTAGAATAAAAAATATTTATCTCAAGAATAATAATATAATTAATCTTTTATATATTTAGGGATGCTTGTTATAATACATTTTGTTTATATTTTTTATTTTAAAATCACATCAAATTTCGAGTTAAATATTTTTATTCTAAATTAAATTAAATGCCGAATAAAAATATTATACTCAAATTAAATTAGAATAACCTGCCCAATTCGACTTATTATCATCCCTAAATACATGTGTGTATGTTTTTTTTTTGAGTAAATGCGTGTATATCTAATAAACTGGTTCGATAGTTTTATATGATTAATAATTTATTACGTGGGTGCACGCAAAAATTGCAAGAATGAAAAATCTTATCATCTAATAAAGAATTAGTCGATGATAAAATCAGTATTTTTACGTTTTATATTTAATTGTTACAATTAATTCTAATATTATTTGTAAATAAAACATGATTAATTACTGTTATTGATGGTTTATTTAAAACATGTTGAATACATGAAAATATCCTTTGTTTATTTTTTTAAATGAAGTATAAGAATAGTTCTAACCGTAAACTATTATCTTGTTGAGTCTATTGACTATTAAAAATCATAAAATAATCATATAATTATTAAAAGATACAAATGATCTTTTAGCTATGGACATCAGTTTGTTAAGTCCCCGACTATTAAAAGTCACTAAATGATCACCTCAACTATTCATATATTTTAAACTCGTCATTTTCATTAAAATTTTGATATTTGTCTTAGATAGACGTTAGTTCTTGACCGAGATATGATAAAATCATATTTTAATAATGCTTATTGGTATCCCAATTGCTTTCGAGCACTGACTTGACGACATATCGTAAATGGAGAGTTAATCCTCAAAATATAGCTCAAACACTTTTGGGATAAAATTTTATCATATCACAGTCAACAAGTTGACATCAAACTTAGATGAGCGTCAATTTTTATACAAAAAAGAATGAATTTGAAATATACAAAATATAAAATGTCTATTTTATAATTTTTAATAATCACTTAACAAAACATCATATAATTATAGAACCATTTTGTAATTTTTAATAAACAAAAGACTCAATAAAACATTGCCCTATAACCATGACTAGTGTATTTTACCCTAATTTTTTCCAAACCATCATTGATTTGTGTTCACTTGCACATTTTTTGTCGGTATGCAAATAGGTTGCAGGAAAAAGTTAAGCAGATTAATAGAATAAAGTGAGACGACTACATGATTGAGCAGTTCATAATGCAATCTAGGACATCCCTGGCTCATAATATAAACAATTAGTGACCATACTCTCCATCTTCGTTATCCAACGACCCTTCTTAATTTAAAAAAAATAGAAGTAGAATTTACATTAATTTAATTTAAATTCAACCCATCTTATTTAGACCACTGTAAAATTTTTTAAAGTGGATATTCAACAATTTCGTTATTTGAATATTAAAATTATAAAAAAAGATGGCGAAATTAAAACTCATTTGAGTTGTGATTACATGAATCAATCCTGGTTGTCATATATGACCAAGGAGCATGATTTTTTTTAAAACTTGAAAATGATGAAGATAAACTTAAAATATAAGATATGAAATTATATTATGATTAGAAAATATAAAGAAAAATTTAAAATATAACGGAATTTAAATTTTCTAGGGATGGATTGCACCCCAAACACCGCCTTGATCCATTATTGATTATAATATTAAAAAATTAAATATAATTTAAATATATAATTTTAACTTATATGTCATCTCTAAAATAATTAATTTTCTTCCTAAAAACAAATTTTAATAATAATATCAATCCTTTAAATATTAAAATAAATAATTTTAAAGTTAATTTTAAATTGAATTATTATTTAATAGCGTTTGAGTATCTTTTAAAGTCTATTTTAAATTATTATTTAAATACTAATTAATAACATTCCATAAAAGATTAAAACTACTTAGAGAGCGACGGTCGATGCATCCTTCGCCCCTGGAGTAAAAGCTTATTTACAAATTACGGTAGGCATTTAAAAGCAGTAAAATGACGTTGACCATGAACATGAAGTTTAATGCAAATAAAGAAAGAGACAACTGTCCTGAAACAGCGGGAGGAGTTTAATGCTTAATAAAAAAGGAATCTCCCAAAGGTCTTTGATGTGGACTTGTTGTCTTGTTCTCCGAGTTAAAAAAAGAAAGAGCCAGAAGATGAAGATGAAGATAAAGAATAAGACCCATCTCTTACCTTTTGTCTTTATTTGCCTTTGATTGCTCTCTATAAATCACTCACTAAAGACCTTTCCTTAACTCCCTCTCCCTCTTCATAATTTCTTCCCTTTGCATTCATTGCTTTTGATTTTTCCATCTAGGACAGTACCTTAAAAATGGAAGATTTGGGTTCTTTCTGGAACTATCAAGAGGTGGGTTTTCTTCTTCATTTCTGTTTTGTCTCTATGTTCTTTTTAATGTTAATGGTTTTCAATTTTCATGTTTTGATAGAGTTTTGATGACTTGAAACTGAATCTTCAATACACTGCAATGGAGCTACAGTCTGCGAAAATGGAAGCGAATGAGCAAATAAGGAAATACAAGGAGGAGTTGAAGCTGATGCTCAATCTCCTGAACCTTGCTTACCAAGAAAGAGATGAAGCAAGAGACCAATTGCAGAAGCTACTCAACAAGTTCATGCCGTGTGAAACCCCGTTTATGATTGCAGCCAAAACCAACTCCAGCATCACTGAATCCAACAGTTTATCAGACGCATATAATAATCATTCTTCCCCTGTCGATTCCTTGTTCGATGCCGTCAATTCATCGGATTTTCCCGCCGTTAAAATGGCCGATCCGAGTGGAATGGGGCTTTTGACACAACCCTTTGGGTTGGTTCCTTCAATGTTTAATGGTGAAAAAGGTGTGATTGATAACCTTGCAAAGGGGAAAACTTTGCCGGAGAAAGGGAAGCTTTTGCAGGCTGTAATGGAAGCCGGGCCTCTCCTTTCGACACTTCTTGTTGCCGGTCCTCTTCCTCAATGGAGAAACCCTCCTCCTTCCGACACTTTTAAAATCCCCCCTGTATCCGTTTCTAAAACTGAAAATGAGAAACCAGTGATTCGAAAACGAGTGAACTCGTCATGGTATCCTGAAGTGACTCGCGGGACTCATCAAATGTGTTCATCGGCCATGTTGAGTTTTGCAAGTTCTGGTTCTGGGATGATTCACTCGCCGATCATGAGTTCGGGTGCTTGTGCTAATGCTCAAATCACACTGACAAAGCGGCAGAGGATTTAACGAGGCTTGAAAGAAGCTTTGGCTTCATTTTTGTAAAGATTAAAAAAGTTGAGGGGTGATGGTGTAAATTTGATACTTTTTGAGGGGTTGAATTGATTGAAAGATATATCATAGCCATTTTACACTTTTTTTAATTACTTCAGTTTATTCTTTTTAAATGCATTTTGCCCACTTTTTATAGCTTTACAAAACTAAAATCTTCGTTGAGTCGACCTGAATGAATCCAATTCAACTCTGTTATGAACCCAAAGAGAAACTTGTTGTTAATAGGAATCATTGAAGAAGAAAGGCTGAAGTCGGTGATTGTTAGGCAGAGTGATGGGGACGCCATGAAAGCCTCCTTTCAGACCTCAATTACAGCAAATAACACCAACCTTCCACCTTTCTTCTGCGGACCAGTATAGACAAAATAATATCATACATGCTTTCACACTTGTGCTTTAGATGTTTTACCCTTTTGATGTTCGTTTTCCATTGGGTTTTCGCAAATAGTAATTGTTATCATTTCCGATTCAAGAATGCAGTTTTTAATGTAGATTTGGATTTAGATGTTGACAAATATTTTATCTATTCTTATAGATTCAGATAATATTTAACCTTAGATAATAAAATTATAATATGATGCAAGTCTACAAAATAGATGCAACAAAAACTCTTGTATTCTCTAGAAATTATGGATTTGAGCAATTGTCTATGGAGTGTATATTATTAATGACTAAAAAATATTATGAAAAAAATTGTATCTAAATCCATAATTGAAGTTGGTTTAGTTGTACCATATGTTCATTACACTCCTAAAATTTTAATATGGATTCAAATAATTATTTTGTGATGAAATCAGATTAAACCGAGAACTTTTTATCATAAAATAACAAAGATTGACATTTTTAGCATTCTAATTCGATTATAAGATAATATTTATGACTGGTTTTAAATTTAAATAAATTTACATACACCTAATTAATCTGCTCAAACCCAAATCACACCTTTCCAATGCAGCAGTAGACTTAAGAACGAGCAAGTGCATCGACTTCAACAGTCAAGTGGGTGATACAAAGGTTATTGACCAATTTGAGACCATCCCTAAGTGCGCCTATAGTTCAGTAATAATATTGGTGGCTTTACCTATAAACGGATATGATCCAACACACCAGTCACCATTAGAGTATCAGATGATAAACCGAGCACTAGCATGACCTGGAATTCCAACTTAAGAACCGTCACAATTAACTTTCAGGGAACCAGTCGACGGAGGTAACCATCTTACGAGAAAGACAGGAAGATCCTTTTGTTTAGTCTGAACAACATTGCACAGCATTCACCATCAACATTGGTGGTTCTGGAGCTAACTGAATGACTCATCTTTTTCCCGAAAAATGAAATGGTTTCTATTGACCCAGATAATTCTTAAGGGATAAATGAAGGGCAATGCGATGAGACACAAGAGCACCATGACAAGGATTGTGTAGGCAGTTCTCATCGCTTTCCAGGTGATTAGATCAACTTTGGATTCAAATGAATACGATGACTTGCCATTAGATCACAAGTCGATACATAAAATGCAATCATCAAAATGATTATTTCTCAAGTAATAATAGCCAAAATTCATGCATTGAACCATTTTAAAGCTAATATTAAATATTCCTTCTTAGTCTCAAAAGAACCCGTCTCTCTTTGCAAAAAACAAAAGATAAACCCTTCAAAACAAGCTAGTCAACAACCGCTTAGATGATTCCAATTTTATTTGCCACATCCAAGGCATCGTACACGGGCGTCAACCTAACGTATGCCTTCTTTGTGCCATCAGGCCTGGATTACAAGAAACATGCGCATCAAAACAATGTCCACAATATTGCGAGCATAAAGAAAAGATAGCATATAAAGGAAATGGATCATCAAGAAACCACAGATGAAGAATACAATCATAAGCAACTATATATGCCATTACAGAGAATTCAAAGCATTGTTTATTCTCAGTTCGCCATAGGTAGCCTTTCTAATAACAAATAACTTTGCCCAATGAGTGTCAAGTGATCTATTGGTCTACGAACTTATGCAGAAGAAATTATACTGACCTATAAAATAAAAGCTATATCGACTAGCTCATGGACATAGAAATAGTTCACAAGCACAAATGAAGTTTTTTTTACCTAATCAAGGTGTTAACTTTATTGGCCTGAATATCATACATCTTCTTCACAGCATCTTTTATCTTCTTCCTGTCAGCAAGGATATCAACAATGAACACCAAAGTGTTGTTGTCCTCAATCTTCTTCATCGCAGCCTCGGTTGTGAGGGGAAACTTGAGAATCTGATAATGACCAAGCTTGTTCCTTGGTGGAGCACTGATGCGTGGATACTTTGGGTTCCTATCTTTCTTCAAGGTCCTTAGCCTGTGAAAAGTAACCTTGGTTCGGATCTTCTTCCCCTTCTTCTTAAAACCTGATCCAGATTTCACTGCTTTCGCAGCCTTCAAGGCCTGTGCCTTTGGATTCGCTTTCTTCGAATATGATCTCATGTTAGACCATGGTCTATTAGATAAAATTCACGTATATCTCATAGATAATATTGTTCGAGCCTGAATTGTTTTACAATTGATCTTACCTTTATATCTCTTTGAGTAGGAGGTATACTACTCGCTTTTGTAATGATCTCTGCCGTCAAACAAGTGAACAACATGCATCGCTTTAATAAGGATTGATCTTGTACTTGCCAAAAATAATATCTAGGTTAAATTGTGTATTAATTTCATTTATATTATAATATTAATCTTAATTTTATATTTAAACCTACCAATTGATAAAAAAATTATTATTCTCTCTAGACGTCATGGATTTAAATAATTACGTCAAGGAAGTATTTATCGAATATTATTTTGTAGTCATTCTAGATTATTCAAAAATATATATAAATTTTAAAACAATATAAGTACATTTTTAATATCGATGATAATATATTAATTTATAATCATTATTTATAACTTATATTACAAAATTAAAAGATTAATTAATAAGAATAAAAAATAGAAATAAAATATATTAATTATAAGATAAATTATAGAATGTTATAATCATATATTTATACCAACAATCTGTTGGTCTAGTGGGATACCTTAAGTAAAGTTAGAGATCCAAATCTTGATATTTGTAAATTTTATTTTCTTAGGTTGAAAATACATTAATTATAACATAAATTATTATTTGATTCCTCTTCCTATATGATGATAAAACAACGAATATACACACTGATTGGTTGTTTTATCGCATGCAAAACAATTATAGTCTAAAGGTTGTCAAAGTCGTACCCTCTGAGCTTGTAGATGTTTTTTTTATCAGCAATATGGATTTTATTAAAAACGAAACCTAAATTAGGGACCTCATTAACATCTTACTTAAGCCTAAATAAAGGAAAAGAGTAGCTCTAACCAAGTAGAGATGTAACACCCTGAAAGATAACACAACAAAACGGTAGCCACACCTAAACTCATCCACAGATCCTGAGATGTGACCAAAGCAAAGGACTATTCAACCCCGCAGGACCTTGGTCTGAAACCAAGCTTGTGCGAAGATGTAACTCCTAAACAACAGATGAATCAGCCAACAACCCGTAATACAAAAGTTAAAGCAACGGACAAATAATTACGGGCAAACCACCTACTAGATAACAAGGAGAACCAGTACCTTAGAGCAGCAGGCCCTAAGCATCAGCTGATCTCTTAACACCTACCATTACGACCCACTGCTAATTACTTAGAAACACCATCCTCGGGCACAGTTGCAAGGATTCACGGATCATCACTCATCCTTATTCAATCAAGCTCATAACCAAGCTGCAGCTACACTACGAGACAAGCATCCCTCGCGCTCTCCCCAATTTTGACGCTCACCCAACACGAACAGGCCCGTAATCCCTCTTATTTAAGCTGGAAATGCAACACAACGTTCTCCCTCAGAGCTACTTACCACCATGCCTTAAATAAATCTTCCCTCCGAACCCATCACAAGCTTGTAGATGTTGTCAATAAAGAAGTAAACTATGTCGTAAAGTTTTGAGATGGTTGTGCACCAAGTTTTATCTTCCAAGAAACTAAAATATCTCTATCTTCTTTGACCCATCTATAAAATTATCAGCATGATCTTAAATCGATGATTTTTATCATCACATCTCTAACTCCTTTGACCTATCTATAAAATTATCATCTTCTGATTGATCATTCACTTCCAGTGGATAATAATTCAGAAGATGATAAACTGGAAGTGAATGATCTATCAAAAGAGGAAAAACCTGAGGTAGTTTGATACTGCCTCAATTGGTTCCTCATCAATTGAAATGGTTGTTTCCTCATCAATTACGTCAACATGCAACTCCTCTAACAAGTCAATCTCTTGGTCTGCTTGGGTGCACTCATCTGGCAAAGACTGATTGATTGCCGGATCAGATTCTGTCTCGGTATTGCCATTTCCGATTTCATTTTCAGGCTCACAAACGGCTACCTCATGATCAACCTTTGGTAATGAGCTCAATTTATCATCTTCTGAGCTATTATCCACTGGAATTTGTTCCTGAGTTGAAGTTTGACGCCGATGAGTTGGTGGAAGTGAATAATCTATCAAAAGAGGAAAAACTTGAGGTGGTGGAAGTAAATGATCAAATTTCAGTGGATAATAGCTCAGAAGATTATAATAGCGTACAAGATTATTGTATTGGCAACAATTAGTGTTCAACTCTCACAAGCAAATTAACGTGGAAATCAAGGTGGAAAACATGATTTGATGTCGGAAGCAGCACTTGGATAATAATAGAGGCAACATGTATAATACTTATTAATTAAGTAATAATTGACAAACAAAGATGTCCACCACGACAAGCAAATTCAAGACGGCAAGAAGAATGTAGAAGCATATGAGGTGGTTTATTACATCTATATATAAATATATATGGATGTTCTAGTTTAATGTGTGTAATGTAATACGAGTGAAGAAAAGTAGAGATATTTGAGAGAGCTTAGCAAAGCTATAATGAGTTTATAAACTAACCGCAACTAGTATTGTAATATTGGGGTAACGTCATAGTAACGTATTTTGCTTCGTATCAATAACAGTTCGAGTTATAAATTATTAAGTGTCTATCTACGCTTCCAACAAGTAGTATAAGAGCTCAGAATATGATAAAATGAGCTCATTACCAAAGGTTGATCATGAGGTAGCCGTTTGTGAGCAAGAAAATAAAATCAGAAATGGCAATATCGAGACAGAATCTGATCTTGCAATTAATCTGTCTTTGCCAGATGAGTGCACCCAAGAAGACCAAGAGATTGACTTGTTATAGGAGTTGCATGTTGACGTAATTGATGAGGAACCAATTGAGGCAGTATCAAACCACCTCAGGTTTTTCCTCTTTTGATAGATCGTTCACTTCCAGTTTATCATCTTCTGAGCTATTATCCACTGGAATTTGATCATTTACTTCCACCACCTCAGGTTTTTCCTCTTTTGATAGATTATTCACTTCCACCAACTCATCGGCGTCAACTCAGGAACAAATTCTAGTGGATAATAGCTCAGAAGATGATAAACTGAGCTCATTACCAAAGGATGATCATGAGGTAGCCGTGTAACACCCCCAACCCGTATCCAACCCGGATCCGAGTCCGAGATGTCACATTGACTTTTCAAACTTTGACTCTTAAAGAAAATCATGAAAACTTTAAACTTTCATTAAAATAAAAGATGTTAATTCATACAAGTTGGACCAAAATAAACAAAATCAATCATAACATTAGTAATTCACAATTTCGTTACATGCCAACATACTATATATAACCAAATATCTACACTTAACTACAATTCTGATATGATCTGTGGAAAGGAGAGCCTGACCTGTCTTGCTCCTCTACACTTCTCCTCTCGCTTTTCAGAACCTACGTGTGAAACATTCACACGCTAAGTCGATGACTTAGTAAGGCAAATAAACATATAATGTAAACTATGACTTGTAATCATGCATGAATAATTACTACTATTATATCATACCACTCTTATCCTTATTCATGTAACAAATACACTACATATATACATATCATTATCATTCATATCTCTTATTCTCTTGTTCATATAATCTCTAATGTTCATATCATATATCTTAACATGTACTCACTTATATCATATAACATATACAATCAAGCAATTATATCATCATCTTCATTTTTATCACTATCATAGATTCCTTTTATCATACGATCTTATAATTACCATTTGTACAATCATATATCACACATAACATTTCACAAGGAAACAAACAGATCATCATATCAAGTTTATTTATATTATCTCTTTATTAGCCCATGTACACATGTGAGAACTAAAGATATGCGAGTACATAGAGGTTGTGCACTATGATGTCACCACAACTTGTATAATTCCCTCAAGGGGCACTGAATATTTGTCCCGAAGGACCACTATGTCCCGAAGGACCACTGATTGTTCCGAAAAACCACTATGTTCCGAAGGACCACTGTTTGTCCCGAAGGACCACTGATAATCCCTTGACTCTTGGCATGCCAACTATACCCCTAGCTTTCATATCACATAACATGGGCATTATATTTTTATACCATTACACATCTTCACATAGCCACATAGCTTTTCACAAAACATTTCCATTTGCAAATATAATTACTTAACTTATTTTCACATAGCTCTTGTTCCATATTCATATCTCATAAGCACGTAGCTCATATTACTTATATTCACATATACATTCACATCACTAATTCATATAAGCTCATGTATTCACATGGGTCATTTCTCATAGCATATCACATAGCTTCACAACTCATCTCATATAATTTTATGCATATACCCTTATATCAATACCATATAACTTATCTTACCGATTTGCATAATCCCTTACAACATACAAAGTTTATACTAATTCAATATATTTACTTAATTCAACCTCACATATTTTATTATCTAAACCTATATTCACATATGATTTCATGTATAATTTTTATATAACTACTATTAAATGTTAGTATAATAACTTATGCCAGTGTTTCTTAGTTACATCTGATTCTCATTTTCTATCATATATATACATCAATGTTACTCAACTTATTTCAGTCTTCATTTAATGATATGAGTCCATCATATTAGTTGCATAGAATCTAACTTACATAAATTATACTTGGTTATCATATTTCGCATAAATCATTGCCCTACAATATACTATATGTCATATAGTTCCCTTCCACTTAGAAAATTCCCTAGAGTTTGTGTACACTTATTATATATTTTACCCATGGTTCTTATATCTTCTCCTAGTCATATAGACCCATAATTCCTCATTACCTAACCTACATTACATGTCCATATAATTCTGGGTATTTATACCACCAAGTGTATACCACGTTCTCTTGTTATTACTTAAATCTTTATTATCTACATAGTTCATGATCATATAACCTATATCATCTTCTTATCTAATCACATGAATTAGATATATATATATATATATATATATATATATGATTTACTACTCTAACATATATCCATACATATCATAACATATAACACATATACTTATACCAACCACATACTTATATTCATTAATTCATGCATTCTAATATAGGAAATAGACTTAAAACAAGTCTTATTTCCATGAATCACCATATACAATACACTATGCACTCACCTTAGCCTTGCTTTGGTTCGATCCTAATTCTTTGATTGTTCCGGAACATGATTACGCTCTAAACCTACGTAGTAATACATTGTTACGTATCAGTATACTAATTGATATCTTCTAAACTTTCACTTCTTGGGCTAAAAGAAAGACTGTTTTCATCTTTTAATGAAGGTATGCATCGATGCACTCTACAGTGTATCGATGCATGCCTTAATGTGTGCATCGATGCACTACCTGTGCATCGGTACACCATTTACATTCTATGTTTCCCTCTTAAGAGGGTTTATCAATGCACTCCTTATGCATCGATGCACTCCTTATGCATCGATGTACTAATTGCATTTGATGTTTATTTATTTGAGAGTGCATCGATACACATTGAAGATGTACCGATGCACACAACCCAGAAATGTCATTTTGAACACGAAAATCCCTTCATTTTCCTCTCAACACTTCATATTTCACCTTCTTTAATATTCCTAACTTTCATACACATATTTACACTTATTTCTACTCAATAATCACTTCTTTAACCTCCCAATCATATCCTTTATATGGCATTCAAGAATTATACGCAAATATCAACATGTTCCAAATCTCATTCTAACACTTCATATTCCTTATTTAGATTGATGACAAGTCAAATTCAACTTCCAATTCTAATTATCAACCCTATATCAATATTTCATTCAAGAACTCAAAATCTTTAATCTCTCCTAATTCCATCATCTTTTGATTTTAAGATAACTTAAGTTTTCCTTAAGCTTAGTTATCATCTACTGATCAAAACCCAACTTAAATTTCAGCTAATAATAAACTATTAAGAAATCTTACCTTTGCAAGTTGGAGTCCACGGCTGGGAGAAGGAAGAAGAAAACTCTGGAGAAATCTCTCCTTTCCCCACGTGTTTCCCTTATCTTATAAGAGGGAAAAAATATCTTTCATCCTAAATAACCAATGTTCCATTTGATTCATTGAATAATTACTAAAACCTTCAGGAAATATTTTTGAATAACTCATTGAACTATTCAAATATCCTAATTTAATCACCACATTTTGAAGTTTTATAATTTAGTCACTAACCCATAGAGTGGGATGTTACAAATCTCTTCTCATTTTAAGAAAATTCGTCCTCGAATTTTCATTGCACACATTAATAAAAACATATCTTCTAATGTTCTTATGTTGTCTCATTTACTTAATCTTTCCTTCCTTTAGTTCTTCAATTACCTTTTTCCCTTATATATATTCATCTACTGTCACTTATCAGATAAACAGTAACCAGTAACCTCAATTTATTTGTCATTTCTCTCATTCTATTTTGCATTTTCCTTGACCTTTATAAAATCCATATAATGTCACTCATTATATAGACAACACCCTCTATTCTTATCACTCCATATCATAAATTCATCTATTTCTTCATTAATTTCTAATTACTTTATAACAATACAAAACTTATATTCCATCATCATATGACCAAACACAACTTTAAATCTTCTTCAATTGTGATTCAACATATACTTTACAGAATCAAACAGTCTTTTCACATTACCTTGCACACTTTTCTTATTTCTATATCAAACTTATCATCTACACTTCCATATAACATTTATCTTACTTAACCCTTTAATTTCCTTTTTCACTTACTTTCTTTATCCCTTTACTCCTCCATAAATCAAAATCTCCTTGTAACATAGATCATATCTTTTCTTCAGGCTCTTATACTCTTTTCATATCACTTATACTTATCCATGATTACCAATTTTCATCACATCTTCGTAATTCGATAATCTTCCTTTATTTATATAAAACCTCTTCCTTTATCATCTCTTGTACTGATAATTTCTTCCTTAATCTTTTACAAATACTTATTTCCTTGTCTACATCATATCTATATGATCAGAATGCATAACCAAATCTAGATTCACCTCATACTTGATTAACTTAACTTATCAAATCCACAATTCTTTCTCATATACCATGAAATTTCTTTGTTCACATTCAACATTTTAACTTCTTCTATCTTATAAACTAATCACCGATGTACTTATTTCTTAAACTCTTCCGAAACAATATTCACATCAATGAATCTTTCATTATTCTCATAACAACATTTGTTTACCATACTTTTGCTCAACCGCATAGTAACTAAATTACTTCATCTAAATTATCCACTTAGAATAGTGGGGATCTTCTAACATTATTCGGCTGCACATTTAAATTTCTGAACACAATCTTTAACTTTTCAATCTATTGTACAAACCTTATCACCCCGATCATATACCTTCTTTTCCTTCGAAATTTTCCTCAAAGGTATCTTACTCAACTTTTCAAACTCATACTTTTACTCACACACAGTACTATTCCTCTGTTTCAAAATCAAACATTGTAACTTTCTTTGTCTTATAAACTGATCACTGATATATATTCATTCTTAAACTTTTCTATTACTCTTTATCTCCTCTTAAACATGTAAATCCTTATCTTTTTCACTACATCACATTTACATACTCAAGATATACAACTATATCCAATACAATTTCATCACGAAATCTTTTTAGCCAACGCTAACTTTTTCCTTCTAGATTACAAACCCTTATCATATCCATACTCTTGCTTATACACAATACTATCCCTTTGTTTCAAATTCATAACTTTGATTTCATTCATCTTATAAACATATCAATGATGCACTTATTCTTGAACTCTTCTACAATTCTAACCCCATCATTTGATCTTTTAACGTTTTTATGGTGACATTTGTCCACCATACTCTAGCTTGCCCACGTAGTAATGAAGCTACTCAATTTAACTTCTCCACTTTAGAGAAATGAAAACCTTCTATGTAACAACCCGAATATTTACAAAATAATATTTAATTGAAATTGGAGGTTAATTGTGAAAATTGGTAAATTGTTGGTGACTAAATCAAAATTTATGAGAGTTTATAGGCCATTTTAGAAGTGAAGAAAATCCAAGGACCAAGCCTTGAATTTACCCTAAAACTGTCAGCAGCTTTGATTATAAGCGTGTATTTGGTTCTTATTTCAGAACCAAAATGCTCCCAATTTTCCTTTCCCATACACAGTTTCCAACTCCGATTCCGACGCCGTCCAAATTCCGATCATCGTTTTAAAACCACCGTTGTGTTCATCATCGAGCGTGGAACAAATTCTTCAATTTAATTGAAGCGAAACGCTGCCAAACGTCGGGAATTTACAGTCAAAATCTCGACGTTTTTGTTAGCTCTATCGCCGGGAAAATCTTAAATTCACCGCCGATCGTTGCTCCGTTTACGACACCTCCTGCACCATCATGTTCCTTGTGTCGTTTCGAGTCCGCCGGTGTCAACCTTGTTCGCCATCGACGGCGGCGCGTGAGGAGGTGGAGCAGTCAAAGATTCGGCCGAGTTGAAATCGAGTTAAAATAATTTTTAGAAATTTTTCTGGAATTTTTAGACCCCCGGAGGAGGCCTCACGCGCCGTACTCGCCGCCGCAGGGAGAGTGGAGGGCTGGAAACCGGTTTGACCAGTTTTCAACCGGTTCTGACTGGTTTGATCAGTTTCGACCGGTTTGAACCGGTTTGACCGGTCTGAACCGGTTTGACCGGTTTGACCCGACCCGACCTGACCCGAATGACCTGACCCGACCGTTGACCCGACCCGACCGTTGACCGTTGACTTCCTTTGACCAAAACTTAAAATGGCTTTGACCGACCCTTAAACGACCGTAAATCTTTTCCGTGTATACCTATTCTGATAGTTTTCGACGTCCCGAATCCGTTTTCGAAGTCCGTTTTGTCAAATTCAAACCCGAAGGCCTCCAAATTGACGGTCAAAGTGGTTGACTTTGACTTTAACCAAGAATCTGATTTTTTAAAAATTCATACTTTATGTTTTTCGACAAGCTGATTCCGATTCCGCAATCTGTTTGGCCAAATTCAGACTCGAAATACCCCAAAATGATAGTCAAACTCAAAAAATGCTTATATACTTAAGAATTTTAGCTTTGAATAATTAAGTAAGATTTGGGGTTGATTAATTATTATTGTTTGAATGTACAAGAGACTCTCCAGATCGTTCGACAGCTCGACCCAGCTCTTCTAGATCAGTTAAACCATGTATACCAGTATTCACCCGTTCGAAAACTGTAACAAAGCGTGGTGAAACTAGCAATCAATAGATCTACTATCTGAACCCATTATCGAGGTGTGTTTCTGTTTACTACATAATGGTTTTATATGTTTTGAAATATGGTACATTGAAATCTATGAATTATTATTGTTGGTACACCGATTTATTGTTGATGATTAATGGACTTTGATGACTGGTATATGGATATTGATTTTGGGATTGATTGAACTACAATTGTATAGCTCTGATCAAGCTAATAAACGGGCCTAATGTGACTCTTGAGGGCCCCAAGATGTTTCATTAGGTCGGTTTTCCTTTGCTGTGTGCTTAGGGTAAGCTACATGGACTTATTGACTTGGGATTAAGGATACAAGCTTCATAGCCTATCCTTAAGTCGGCTTTCTTTTTGCTATGTCCATAAAGTAAGCTATATGGAAAATAATTTTGGGAACTACTGATGGTGTACCAGAAAAGGGTTTAAACTATAATTTTCAAAAGTTAAACTCTTTTACGAATTTGTGAGATTTACTGGACTATGATTTGTTTAGTGTACCTATTGTGATTTTATGGTAATGTTGGGACACACTGAGCCTAGCTCACATTTCGAAAATGTTTTTCCCCTTTCAGATACTGTTGGTTAGATACTTCGGTTCGAGCACTTGGAGGATCAACATATCTCTTGAAGTATATCTGGTTGTAATATTTTAAACTTGCAAGTTGACTTTATTCTGGTGGCATGGACTTATTTTAAAGTATTGGATTTTATAATGATGATACTTTTGCTATTACTATTCAGTTTATCGTGGTTTTGATTTTTAAGATATGTTTTAAATTAATTTATTACTGATTGGTTTTATATTTAAGAGTTGAGTTTTAAATAGTATAATTTATTATAATTTCATGTCATGAATAATGTGGTTTTACATTGATTGGATAACGGTTTTGGAAAATGTCTTTGTTATCCACTAGACTTAGTCGAAACGCATAGGCAGGGTCTAGGGGGGTTATATTATTGGTATCAGAGCTTTTGGTTTTTAACCCTCGGATCGTGTATGAGTCCATATTGAAAATACGGTTTTGAAATATTTTACAAAACAAGTTACAAAGGCCATGTCACAAAATTATTAAGATTTTTAAATTGTGTTCGAGACTCTAAGTGCTTATCTAACCCTAAGTTTTATCTTCTGTAGTAAACTTGAGATCCATCAAAATGAGTGCTAGACGTGGTCGTCGAACTAGCCGTGGACGAGGTCGAGTGGCTACATTTACATATCCGATTGATGAGATACGGGTAGATCCCCCACCTCCGATAGGTGATCCTGCTCCTACGACCCCAACGAATCTTCCTCCTGCCACTGGTATTGGCATGACTACACCGATCATAGGAGCGACCGATATTGAGTCAGAGTCTACCGGAGTTGCTTTGGATGAGAATTTTGGTAGTCAATTTCTATAGTTGATACAGGGAGCAGTCAGAGCTACTGGTGTTGTATCAGAAGTTCCTATTTCGCAGACTTTGATTGCCAATGGAGTTAGAAATTTTGGGGGACAGATTGGTGGAGCTCCTACTGAAGCTGAGGATTGGCTCCAGGATACATAGAGACGCATGGATCAGTTGGGTTTAGACTCAACTAAGAGATATCAGGGTGTTGTGGCGATGTTAGATGGCAATGCCTACACTTGGTGGGAGTCAGTGACCAGTAGTGTTCCTACCGATCGTTTGACCTGGAATTTCTTTAAGGATCGCTTTCAGAGTTGTTTTCTGGGAGAGCGCTACTTAGCTCAGAGACGTCAGCAGTTTCAAGACCTGGTTCAGGGAGACATGACTGTTTCTGAGTACGAGATCGAGTTCTTGAAGTTGCTGAAGTATGTATTCAGTATGGTACCTACTGAGAGAGATCGATGTCGTAAATTTTCCCTTGGAATCAGATACGAGCTGCGTAGGCAAGTTGTAACCCATCAGGATGAGATATTTGATGTGCTGGTGGGCAGAGCCAAAGATGCTGAAGAGGTGGAGGTTTTAGCTTCTGGTAGAGAGCGTGTTGAACAAGAACGATCTAAGAAATTTTCAGGCCCGATGGAGTCATCAGCACAGTCCAGGAAAAGGACTCGTACTTCAGTCCCTTAGAGAAGCAATACACGTTTCAGGCCTGCAGCATCCTCACCGTTAGTTGGCAGTCGAGGTGGTTCCTCGTCGTATTATCATGGGTTCCTCTGTAAGTTTTGTGGTAAACAACACACAGGAGAGTGTCGTAAGAAGATGGGTCTTTGCTATCAGTGTGGATCTAGTGGTCATTTTCGGAGAGATTGTCCTCAGCTAGCTTCGTTTGAGCAGACCGCTACTCAGACTCTTGTACGTTCTCAGACTACAGTACAGACTCCAATTAGAGATCGTAGCCAAGTAAAGGCTCGTGGTTCAGCGTCCAAGACTGACAGTAGAGCCCGACCTCAGCAAAATAGAGGGCCAACAATTTCTGAGGCTAGACAACCAGCTTTGGTTTATACCACTAGACGTCGGGATGACAGAGATGAGCCTGAGGTTATAGCAGGTACATTTACCATTTATTCTATCCCATACTTTTCATTACTGGACAATGGCTCCACTCACTCCTATGTATCGAGCTCGGTATCTCGAAACCTTCAGATTCCGATCGAGAACACTGAAAGTACTGTTACAGTTATGAGTCCAATAGGACAAGTGGTATTAGTGAATAAAGTATTTCGGCGTCGTCCTCTCGAGGTTCAGGGAGAAATTTTTCTCGCTGATCTTATGGAACTTCCTTTAGAGGAGTTCGATCTAATTCTTGGGATGGATTGGTTGAATAAACACAAGGTAAATCTGGATTGCGAATACAAGCGGGCTACTCTAAAGACTTCAGATAGTCGGACCGTGGTGTTAATTGGTGAACGGCGTGGCTATCTCTCCAATATAGTTTCAGCTATGGAAATTGATCGTATGATCCGGAAGGGGTATGAGACTTTCATTGCTTATATTTTGAACACTAAAGGTTCATTGTCCACGATCGAAGAGATCCGTACAATTAGCGAGTTTCCTGATGTCTTTCCAGAGGAGTTGCCTGGTTTACCTCCTGATAGAGAGGTAGAGTTCGAGATAGAGACTTATCCGGGATCTGCACCTATTTCTATGGCACCTTATCGCATGACTCCAAAAGAACTTAAGGAGTTGAAGGTCCAATTGCAAGAATTATTTGATCGAGGATTAATTCGACATAGTACTTCACCATGGGGAGCTCCAGTTCTATTCGTGAAAAAGAAGGATGGGTCGCTAAGATTATGTATTGACTATCGGAAGTTGAATCAGATGACGGTCAAGAATAAATATCCACTACCCAGGATTGATGACTTATTTGATCAGTTGCGAGGAGCTACTGTATTCTCTAAGATTGATCTTCGTTCGGGTTATTATCAATTGAAAGTTAAAGGATCTAATGTTGCCAAGACGGCCATTCGCACTAGATATGGTCATTATGAATTCTTAGTGATGCCTTTTGGTTTGATGAATGCTCTTGCAGCTTTCATGGATTTGATGAATCGGGTGTTCTGACCATATTTGGATCAATTTGTGGTGGTCTTTATTGATGATATTATAATCTATTCTCGTACTGAGGTAGAGCATGACGAGCATTTGAAAATCGTTCTGCGGACTTTGAGAGAGCATCGTCTATATGCCAAACTAAGCAAGTGTGAATTTTGGCTTCAAGAAGTGTCGTTTCTGGGGCATATTATTTATGCGCGAGGTATTCAGGTCGATCCAAGCAAGATCGAGGCTATTGTGAATTGGAAATGACCCAAGAATATCTCTGAAATCTGCAGTTTCTTGGGCTTGGCTGGTTATTATCGACGTTTTGTTGAGGGCTTCTCGATCATTGCTTCTCATTTGACAAAGTTGTTAAGGAAGAATGTGCCGTTTGACTGGGGTGAGGCACAACAGGAGAGCTTTGAGAAATTAAAGACAGTATTGACTCAAGCACCAGTGTTGATTCAACCAGAGTCCGAGAAGGATTTTACAGTGTATAGTGATGCGTCACACTCAGGACTCGGCTGTGTTCTAATATAGGAAGGTAAGATGGTGGCTTATGCATCCCGTCAGCTGCGACCGCATGAGTGTAATTATCCTACTCATGATTTGGAGTTAGCAGCAGTGATTTTTGCCTTGAAGATTTGGAGACACTATCTTTATGGAGAGAAGTGTTACATTTTCACGGATCATAAGAGTTTAAAGTATCTTCTGACCCAGAAGGAGCATAATTTGAGACAACGACACTGGCTAGAGCTTCTAAAGGATTATGATTGCGTGTTTGATTATCACCCTGGTAAAGCTAATATTGTAGCGGATGCTTTGAGTCGAAAGAAGGTAACAGAGTTGAGATCTTTAATGGCCAGGATGAATTTATATGACGATGGCACTCTGTTAGCAGAATTACAAGTTAAGCCGACCTTGGTTGATGAGATCAAAGCTAAGCAGCCCCTTGATAGCTCCTTGCTTTCCATCTTTGAGCTAGTAGAGCAAGGGACAAGCTCAGATTACGCCCTTGATCAGGATGAAGTTTTATACTTCAAAGGTCGGTATTGTGTGCCAGATGATGCTGAGTTGAGGCAGACTATCCTCACGGAGGCTCATAGTAGTCCATATGCTATGCACCCCGGTGGAGATAAGATGTATCGGAATTTGAGAGAGAGGTATCATTGGGTCGGGATGAAGAAGGACATCTCAAATTTTGTGGCGAGGTGTTTCACTTGTCAGCTAGTTAAGGCGGAACATCAACATCCATCAGGTTTGTTACAACCTATCAAGATTCATGAATGGAAATGGGAGCGTATTACTATAGATTTTGTTACTGGTTTACCTATGACTCCTTCGAAAAAGGACTCAATTTGGGTGATTGTTGACATACTTACAAAGTCAGCTCACTTTATTCCTGTACGGATAAATTATACGTTGGACAAGTTGGCGAGGTTATGTATTTCAGAGATTGTTAGATTGCATGGTGTTCCGTTATCTATCATTTCAGATCGAGATCCGAGATTTACTTCGAGATTTTGGAAGGCGCTACATACGGCTTTGGGTACGAGATTGGATTATAGTACCTCCTTCCACCCACAAACTGATGGTCAATCTGAGAGAGTAATTCAGATTCTGGAGGATATGTTACGGGGTTGTGTAATCGATTTTCATGGTAGCTGGGAGAACTTTTTGCCTTTGGCTGAATTCGCTTATAATAACAGTTACCAGACCAGCATTCGTATGGCACCCTATGAAGCACTCTATGGGCGTAGGTGTCGCACCCCGATTTGTTGGACTGAGTTGCGTGATAGGAAGACTTTGGGACCTGAGTTAGTGCGGGAGACAGAGGACACAGTCAGATTGATCCGTGACCATCTGAAAGAGGCATTTGATAGGCAGAAATCTTTTGCAGATCAGAGAAGGAAAGATATACAGTTTGAGGTTGGAGATCAGGTCTTTTTAAAAGTTTCACCCTGGAAGAAAGTATTGAGATTTGGACGTAAGGGTAAACTGAGTCCGCGATTTATTGGGCTGTATCGTATTTTGAAGAAAGTTGGACCTGTTGCTTATCAGCTCGAGTTACCTTCCCATCTTAGTCGTATTCATGATGTTTTTCATGTGTCTATGTTAAGGCGATAACGTCCAGATCCAAGTCATATCATTCAGGTTGAGGAAGTAGAGCTGAGACCTGATTTATCATATGAGGAGGTGGCCATTCAAATCTTAGAAAGAGATGAGTGAGTTCTTCGGAATAGGCGTATTCCAATGGTCAAAGTTCAAAGGAGTAACTGAGGCCTCTCAGAAGCAACTTGGGAGACATTGGAGTCAATGGAGGCTCAGTTTCCTCAACTGTTCTCATAAGGTAAATTTCGAGGATGAAATTTCTTGTAGAGGGGGAGAATTGTAACAACCCGAATATTTATAAAATAATATTTAATTGAAATTAGAGGTTAATTGTGAAAATTGGTAAATTATTGGTGACTAAATCAAAATTTATGAGAGTTTATAGGCCATTTTAGAAGTGAAGGAAATCCAAGGACCAAGCCTTGAATTTACCCTAAAACTGTCGACAGCTTTGATTATAAGCGTGCATTTGGTTCTGATTTTCAGAACCAAAATGCTCCCAATTTTCCTCTCCTATACGCAGTTTCCAACTCCGATTCCGACGCCGTCCAAATTCTGATCATCGTTTTAAAACCACCTTTGTGTTCATCATCGAGCGTGGAACAAATCCTTCAATTTAATTGAAGCGAAACGCTGCCAAACGTCGGGAATTTACAGTCAAAGTCTCGACGTTTTTATTAGCTCTATCGCCGGGAAAATCTTAAATTCACCGCCGATCGTTGCTCCGTTTACGACACCTCCTGCACCATCGTGTTCCTTGTGTCGTTTCGAGTCCGCCGGTGTCAACCTTGTTCGCCGTCGACGGCGGCGCGTGAGGAGGTGGAGTAGTCAAAGATTTGGCCGAGTTGAAATCGAGCTCTCCGCCGTTCAAAAATTTGAACCGATTTTGTAAGTATCTCGAAATCGCTTAAAATAATTTTTAGAAAATTTTCCGGAATTTTTAGACCTCCAGAGGAGGCCTCACGCGCCGCACGCGCCGCCGCAGGGAGAGTGGAGGGCTGGAAATCGGTTTGACCAGTTTTCAACCGGTTTTGACCGGTTTGATCAGTTTCGACCAATTTGAACCAGTTTGACCGGTCTGAACCGGTTTGACCGGTCTGACCCGACCCAACCCGACCCGACCGTTGACTCGACCCGACCCGACCGTTGACTTCCTTTGACCAAAACTTAAAATTGCTTTGACCGACCCTTAAACGACCGTATATCTTTTCCGTGTATACATATTCTGATAGTTTTTGACATCCCGAATCCATTTCCGAAGTCCGTTTCGTCAAATTCGAACCCGAAGGCCTCCAAATTGACGGTCAAAGTGGTTGACTTTGACTTTGACCAAGAATTTGAATTTTTGAAAATTCATACTTTATGTTTTTCGACGTCCTGATTCCGATTCCTTAATCCGTTTGGCCAAATTCAGACTTGAAATACCCCAAAATGATAGTCAAACCCGAAAAATGCTTATATACTTAAGAATTTTAGCTTTGAATAATTAAGTAAGATTTGGGGTTGATTAATTATTATTGTTTGAAGGTACAAGAGACTCTCCGGATCGTTCGACAGCTCGACCCAGCTCTTTTAGATCAGTTAAACCACGTATACCAGTATTCACCCGTTCGAAAACTGTAACAGAGCGTGGTGAAACCAGCAATCAGTAGATCTACTATCTGAACCCATTATCGAGGTGTGTTCCTGTTTACTACATAATGGTTTTATATGTTTTGAAATATGGTACATTGAAATCTATGAATTATTATTGTTGGTACACCGATTTATTGTTGATGATTTATGGACTTTGATGACTGGTATATGGATATTGATTTTGGGATTGATTGAACTACAATTGTATAGCTCTGATCAAGCTAATAAACGGGCCTAATGTGACTCTTTAGGGCCCCAAGATGTTTCATTAGGCTGGCTTTCCTTTGCTGTGTGCTTAGGGTAAGCTATATGGACTTATTGACTTGGGCTTAAGGATACAAGCTTCATAGCCTATCCTTAAGTCGGCTTTCTTTTTGCTATGTGCATAAAGTAAGCTATATGGAAAATAATTTTGGGAACTACTGATGGTGTACCAGAAAAGGGTTTAAACTATGATTTTTAAAAGTTAAACTCTTTTACGAATTTGTGAGATTTACTGGACTATGATTTGTTTAATGTACCTATTGTGATTTTATGGTAATATTGGGACACACTGAGCCTAGCTCACCTTTCGAAAATGTTTTTCCCCTTTCAGATACTGTTGGTTAGATACTTCGGTTCGAGCACTTGGAGGATCAACATATCTCTTGAAGTATATCTGATTGTAATATTTTAAACTTGCAAGTTGACTTTATTCTGGTGACATGGACTTATTTTAAAGTATTGGATTTTATAATGATGATACTTTTGCTATTACTATTCAGTTTATCGTGGTTTTGATTTTTAAGATATGTTTTAAATTAATTTATTACTGATTGGTTTTATATTTAAGAGTTGAGTTTTAAATAGTATAATTTATTATAATTCATGTCATGAATAATGTGGATTTACATTGATTTGATAACGGTTTTGGAAAATGTCTTTGTGATCCACTAGACTTAGTCGAAATGCATAGGCAGGGTCTAGGGGGGTTACATTCTAGTATTATCTTCATATCATTTAACCAAATGTCTGTAACAACATAACCTTCATGAAATTCACCATTGAACTCGGGTGCTCTTAACTATTTTAACTACTTCTATACATTCATTCAACATAATGAAAAACATTCTTTAATCTTATACAAGCATTCCCTGAGGTGTTCGCTCTTTGCCCTGCCTAGTCAGGGCAGGTGAATTGCTATTACCTTCAGGTCTATCACATTTCGCTTCACTTTAAAAGCTCTCATAATCAGATATCTAATTTAATATAATGATTTAACTCTATTAAAAGGACAATACACTCCTTACACTATCAGATCAAAAAAAATTTTACTTTGTGTTCGCATGTATATTTTTTAAAACACTTTTGACTTCATTTTAAGCCTAGAATCGGCTTAACCATAGCTCTGATACCATTAAATGTTACACCCCAACCCGTATCCGACCCGGATCCGAGTCTGAGATGTCACATTAACTTTTCAAACTTCGACTCTCAAAGAAAATCATGAAAATTTTAAACTTTCATTAAAATAAAAGATGTTAATTCACACAAGTTGGACCAAAATAAACAAAATCAATCAGAGAATTAGTAATTCACAATTTCGTTACATGCCAACACACTATATACAACCAAATATCCACACTTAACTACAATTCTGATATGATCTGTGGAAAGGAGAGTCTGACCTGTCTTGATCCTCTTTACTTCTCATGTCGCTTTTCAGAACCTACGTGTGAAACACTCATACGCTAATTCGATGACTTAGTGAGAAAAATAAACATATAATGTAAACTATAACTTGTAATCAAGCATGAATAATTACTACTATTATATCATACCACTCATATCCTTATTCATGTAACAAATACACTACACACACACACATACATGTCATTATCATTCATATCTCTTATTCTCTTGTTCATATAATCTCTCATGTTCATATCATATATCTTAATATGTACTCACTTATATCATATAACATATACAATCAAGCAACTATATCATCATCTTCATTTTTATCACTATCATAGATTCCTTTTATCATATGATCTTATAGTTACCATTTGTACAATCATATATCACACATAACATTTCACAAGGAAACAAACATATCATCATATCAAGTTTATTTATATTATCTCTTTATTAGCCCATGTACACATCTGAGAACTAAAGATATTAAATTATATAGAGGTTGTGCACTATGCTATCACCACAACTCGTATAATTCCCTCAAAGGGCACTGAATATTTGTCCCGAATGACCACTATGTCTCGAAGGACCATTGATTGTTCCGAAGAACCACTATGTCCCGAAGGACCACTGTTTGTCCCGATGGACCACTGATAATCCCTCGACTCTTGGCATGCCAACTATACCCTAGCTCTCATATCACATAACATGGGTTTTATCTTTTATACCATTACACATCTTCACATAGCCACATAGCTTTTCACATAACATTTCGATTTGCACATGTAATTAGTTAACTTATTTTCACATAGCCATGTTCCATATTCATATCTCATAAGCACGTTGCTCATATTACTTATATTCACATATACATTCACATCACTAATTCATATAAGCTCATGTATTCACATGGGTCATTTCTCATAGCATATCATATAGCTTCACAACTCATCTCATATAATTTTATGCATATACCCTTATATCAATACCATATAACGTATCTTACCGATTTGCATAATCCCTTACAACATACAAAGTTTATACTAATTCCATATATTTACTTAATTCAACCTCACATATTTTATTATCTAAACCTATATTCACATATGATCTCCTATATAATTCTTATATAACTACTATTAAATATTAGTATAATAACTTATGCCAATGTTTCTTAGTTACATCTGATTCTCATTTTCTATCATATATATACATCAATGTTACTCAACTTATTTCAGTCTTCATTTAATGATATGAATCCATCATATTAGTTATATAGAATCTAACTTACATAAATTATACTTGGTTATCATATTTCATATAAATCATTGCCCTACAATATACTATATGTCATATAGTTCCCTTCCACTTATAACATTCCCTAGTGTTTGTGTACACTTATTATATATTTTACCCATGGTTCTTATATCTTCTCATAGTCATATAGACCCATAATTCCTCATTAACTAACCTATATTACATGTCCATATAATTCTGGGTATTTATACCACCAAGTGTATACCATTTTCTCTTGTTATAACTTAAATCTTTATTATCTACATAGTTCATGATCATATAACATATATCATCTTCTTATCTAATCACATGAATTATATATATATATATATTCATATGATTTACTACTCTAACATATATCCATACATATCATAACATATAACACAGTTACTTATACCAACCACATGCTTATATTCATTAATTCAAGCATTCTAATATAGGAAAAAGACTTAACACAAGTCTTATTTCCATGAATCACCATATACAGTACACTATGCACTCACCTTAGCCTTGCTTTGGTTCGATCCTAATTCTTCGATTATTCCGGAACAAGATTACGCTCTAAACCTACATAGTAATACATTGATACGTATAAGTATACTAGTTGATATCTTCTAAACTATCACTTCTTGGGCTAAAAGAAAGAATATTTTCATCTTTTAATGAAGGTATGCATTGATGCACTCTACAGTGTATCGATGCATTCCTTAACGTGTGCATCGATGCACTACCTGTGCATTGGTACACCAATTACATTCAATTTTTTCCTCTTAAGGGGGTGCATCGATGCACTTCTTATGCATCGATGCACTCCTTATGCATCGATGCACTCCTTATGCATCGATGCACTAATTGCATTTAATGTTTATTTATTTGAGAGTGCATCGATATCCATTGAAGATGTACTGATGCACACAACCCAGAAATGTCATTTTAAACACGAAAATCCCTTCATTTTCCTCTCAACACTTCATTTTTGACATTCTTTAATATTCCTAACTTTCATACACATATTTACACTTATTTCTACTCAATAATCACTTCTTTAACCTCCCAATCATATCTTTTATATGACATTTAAGAATCATACGCAAATATCAACATGTTCCAAATCTCATTCTAACATTTCATATTCCTTATTTAGATTGATGACAAATCAAATTCAACTTCCAATTCTAATTATCAACTCTATATCAAGATTTCATTCAAGAACTCATATTCTTTAATCTCTCCTAATTCCATCATCTTTTGATTTTAAGATAACTTAAGCTTTCCTTAAGCTTAATTATCTTCTAATGATAGAAACCCAACTTAAATTTCAGCTAATAATCAACTATTAAGAAATTTTACCTTTGCAAGTTGGAGTCTACGGCTGGGAGAAGGAAGAAGAAAACTATGGAGAAATCTCTCCTTTCCCCACGTGGTTCCCTTATCTTATAAGAGGGAAAAATATCTTTAATGCTAAATGACCATTTTGCTCTTTGATTCCTTGAATAATTACTAAAACCTTGAGGACATAATTTTGAATAACTCATTGAACTATTCAAATATCCTACTTTAATCACCACATTCTGAAGTTTTACACTTTAGTCACTAACCCATAGTTTGGGATGTTACAAGCAGTTTGTGAGCCTGAAAATGAAATCGGAAATGGCAATACCGAGACAGAATCTGATCCGGCAATCAATCCGTCTTTGCCAGATGAGTGCACCCAAGCAGACCAAGAGATTGACTTGTTAGAGGAGTTGCCTGTTGATGTAATTGATGAGGAACCAACCATTTCAATTGATGAGGAACCAATTGAGGAAGTATCAAACTACAATGCAAAAGATCAAAAAGAAGGTGAATTTACTAATAGCCGTGAGCCAGAAGTAGAGATGGAGCAGAAGGTGGTCAATAATGACAAATTCGATATAGTCTTCAAACCGGAGGATGCTCACTCAACAACAGATGAAGAAAAGGAGTGTTGGAAGTCAAACTCAACATCCATATGTTGGAATTGTGTAGAATCTAAACGTGGCGGCAACAAGATTGTTGTATTGGCAACAATTAGTGTTCAACTCTTAGAAGCAAATTAACGTGGAAATCAAGGTGGCAAACATGATTTGATGTCAGCAGCCGTACTTGGATAATAATGGAGGCAACACATATACTACTTATTAATTAAGTAATAATTGGCAAGCAAAGATGTCCACAACGACAAGCAAATTCAAGACGACGAGAAGAATGTAGAAGCAGTTTATTATATATATATATATATATATATATATATATGGGTGTTCTAGTTTAATGTGTATAATGTAATACGAGTGAAGAAAAGTAGAGAGATTTGAGAGAGCTTAACAAAGCTATAAGGAGTTTATAAACTAACCGCAGCTAGTATTGTAATATTGTGGTAACGTCATTGTAACGTATTTTGCTTCATATCAATAATAGTTCGAGTTATAATTTATTGAGTGTTCATCTATGCTTCCAACATAGATATTGTCAATAAAGAAGTAAACTATGTCGTAATGTTTTGAGATGGTTGTGCACCAAGTTTTATCTTCCCAAGAAACTAAAATATCTCTATCTTCTTTGAACCATCTATAAAATTATCAGCATGATCTTAAATCGATGATTTTTATCATCACATCTCTAACTCCTTTGACCCATCTATAAAATTATCAAAGTACTTGACCTCATATTGATAATTTTTATTATCAACAACATCAAACTAAAGGGGTTGAGGATGACGAAAAACATGTCGAAGAGTAAGGGAGTGTTCAATTTAAAAAAGAAAAGGTAAAACATAAGGTAATGTTTCTCAATCCCAATGGAGGAAGAGCTACAACAATCGATTGTTTCAGTGCATCGATTTGGAGATTATATGGTTATATCTCAGTAATAAAATATAATTTATCTAAATTTGTAAAAAGATAATAAATATCATTCTAAATTATCTAAAATATATAATTAGAAGTCTTAATATGAATTTAATTATAAATAATTAATACAAATATTAAAATTGTAAATAAAAATATGATATTAATCTCATATAAGAATTCATGCACACGTTGTCTTTGATGAAATAGATGCATTTTGCTTTTTAAAGTTGATTGAATCATTCTAAGATGCATTGAATAGATAACCCACAATTAATCGTATTATAAGAATACATATTTAGGTATATAATTGAATTTTTATAGTAATCAAAATCTTGAATTACAACAAACGTGATATGTTATAAAAATATTGACTTATATATTTGTGTGTTTGTTAACAATAACAACCATTAGTATTTGTATTTTAATTAAACTTAACTCTTAATTTTCCGTATAAAGTCAAAAAAAATTTCTTTAATAAATGTGTAATTTGATAAGAATCAAAGAACAATGCAATTTTAATTTAATCTAATTCATTTACTAAAATATAGTACCTCAAGAATATTTGATTTGATTGATAACAAATCCTTATTTTTTCAATAAATTTATTAAAACATTAAGGAATAAATATCATGCTGTCGTACCTAAAAAATTCACCACTTCAGTGATTCTTTCTCTTCATTCTTTTTTAAATTTTTTGCGTTAAGGGATTTTGGGATTTATTTTTTTTGTGAAAGAAGACGATGGAACTAGATCTTTCTCCTAAATTGGCTAAGAAAGTGTACGGTGGCGATGGAAGAAGCTACTACGCTTGGTGCCCCGATGAACTCCCCATGCTTTGTCACGGCAACAATGGTGCCGCCAAGTTGACCCTTGAAAAGAATGGCTTTGCCTTCCCTCGGTATTCTGATTCGTCGAAGGTTGCCTACGTGCTTCAAGGTATCATCTTTACAGATTTATCTCTTTTCTTCTTAATCTGTTCCTTGGTTTCGTTTTCTTTTCTAACATAGCTTATTGATACATAGGAACCGGTGTTGCTGGAATTATTCTCCCTGAATCTGAGGAGAAAGTAATAGCAATCAAGAAGGGTGATGCCATTGCTCTCCCTTTCGGTGTCATTAGCAGGTGGTACTGTTGAAAATCAAAGTTTGGCACTGAAGGGTGCATGGCCAGAAATCAAAGTTTGGCACGGAATATGCAATGGTCAAAGAGCATATTTTGTTGAATTTTGGTAATGAGAAAATTATAAATTTAGTCCCTATACTTTAAGGTATTTATAAAATTAGTCCTTAAACTTCAACTATAAATATCCTAACCTATTTAGCTTCAAAATCATCCCAAATCATTCTAAATTTCTCTCAATACTAGAGAATTTTCTTGAGAGTTGTTTTCTTCTTTTTATCAAGAGAAAATTGTCATTGTTTTCTATTTGTTAAATCGAGAGAAGTTGTAATTCCTATTTTCTCATAGTGAAATTCTTTTACTTTTGCCCGTAGTTTTTACCCTATATTATTTAGGGGGTTTCCACGTAAAATTTGTGTCTTTTTTATTTTCCTTTTAATTTTCTCAAATTATCAACTACGATTTTGCTATATCTGATAGCCGTATTCCGCAACAAGTACAACAAGGAAGATTCTGAATCGGAGGTTCTCTTTATGGGAGATACCTCTAAAGGTCACAAGGGCGGCCAATTTACAGATTTCTTTTTGACTGGCGTTAATGGTATCTTCACTGGCTTCACAACCGATTTTGTCAAAAGAGCATGGGATGTGGATGATAATACTGCTAAGGCTCTCATTCGCAACCAACAAGGTAGAGGCATTGTCAAGCTTGATGCTAGTGTTAAGATGCCTGAACCAAAGCCTGATCACCGAAAAGGAATGGCTTTGAACTGCGAGGAAGATCCTTTGGATACTGATACCAAGAACGCTGGAAATGTCGTGCTCTTGAATACAAAAAATCTTCCTTTGGTTGGTCAGGTGGGGCTTGGTGCTGATCTCTTTAGATTGGAAGGCAATGCAATGTGCTCCCCGGGGTTCTCTTGTGATTCATCTTTGCAGGTAACTTATATTTTCAAGGGCAGCGCCCGTCTCCAAGTTGTTGGTGTCGATGGAAAAAGGGTCTTGGAAACCATTGTGAAACCAGGTAACCTGTTGATTGTGCAAAGGTTCTTTGTTGTTTCAAAGATTGCAGATCCGGAGGGTTTGTCGTGGTTCTCGATCATCACCACTCCCAAGTATGCTACTCGTTGAGAGTTTAAATCCATTAATTAAAATTGTATATAACAGTTTTGCCAATAGCGAGACATAACTTGTTTTGATTCACGTTTGCAGCCCTGTATTCACTTACTTGGCTGGAAGCATTGGGGCATGGAAGGCTATATCCCCTGAAGTTTTACAGGCAGCTTTCAAGGTTCCTGCTGAGACGGAGAAGCTTTTCCGGTCCAAGAGAACCAATGATGCCATTTTCTTACCACCACTGAAATGAAGAAACATTATTCTTTTAGGTTTAGTTATTCCAAGCAAATGGCTTTTAGGTAGGCCTGTAAACGAACCGAACGCACACGAACGGAGGTATGTTCATGTTCGTTCATTTAATAAATAAGCGAACATAAACGAACACGAACATAAACGAACAAATTTTTTTTTGTTCATGTTCGTTCATTAAGGAATATAGCTTGTTTATGTTCGTTCATTTAATAAATATACAAACACGAACATAAACGAACACGAACATAAATGAAAACGAACATAAACGTTGGAGACCCTACCTTCCATTGTTCTTTCATGAAAAATAGTCGACAATGCAAATCAACCAAATCTACAGTGATAAATAGCGTAAGAGCTGATTAGCAGTGATGAAATGTTTGAAGATATCAGATATTTCGATCGATCTTTTAAAGATATTAAATGATTCACACGACTTTAATTTAACGCTATAACATATATCTTAGTGGTCTATGATTACATATGAACAATCATTTTCCACTACGTTATTCTAATAAATTCGCTGGCTAAAAGTTTCGTGACATCAATGTCAGACATTAGTGAGATTTGTTAATAATGATCATTTCCGTTGGTAGAGTAGAAAATTTAACAGCATGAAGATTTCGAACGGTACAAATTGGACTACAAGGCAATAACATAGATTCGAAATCCCTTCGATGCTACATATCGTAACTAATATTATTGTTAAACCATCATTCAAAATTTTAACGTACCTAAAGTCTACTCCACAACTAAAAGTCACACAAGAACTATGAAAACAAAAGTTCATTGTCAAAGTGTATTTTCTACTTATTAATGGGTTCTTCCTGAAAAATCCATTACTTTCGCTATTACACTCTTTTTCAGAAATTGCATAGAAACATTTGTTTTGTTTTCTGGCAAATTTTATATATTTTTCTCTTTACTGATGCTCATATACTTCCGATTGTTACCTTTATCTTCCTATCTATTTCTAGAAAGAAGTATTATGTTTTCTTGAGTTTTAGATGTGAAGATACCGACAATAACTTTACATATCAACTATTAAGCCATATAAAACAGAGAAAGAGATGAAAACAGACCTGTAAAACTTCAGATTGCACTATAATATAACTTGTTTTGAAGCTTTCACCGATCGTTTCCACTCTCCAATGAACACTAGGGGGAAAATGAATATAGGTACGAGGTGCCACAAAGGTTAACATATTGGATTTAATCTCCAAATAAAATTGGGATAATTATTGAGTTGGTCATCAGAATATCAAATTAATTAATATTTTTAAGATACTTACAAATTGGTCACCAAAATTGATTTAAGAAGATTGGGTTAAACATAAATGAACGAACATAAACGAACATAACCGAACGAACATAACCAAACGTTCACGAACGTAAATGAACGAACGAGACCTATGTTCATGTTCGTTCATTTAATTAAACGAACACAAAATATTGTTCAT